GATCAGGTCAACACACAGAAGTATAGAAATTCTACACTGATAAAAAAAGTAAAAAAAAACTGCACTGGTATAGGATCAGAATTGGCCGATACTCAGAATTTTTTGGATCGGATCAGAAAAAAAACAGTATTGTTGCATCCCTAATGGTAACAAGATCGGCAGTTTAAGACATTAACTTGTAAGCACAAAACAAAATATACTTATCTTTTCAATATACATAAGACTTTATTGGATAAATCAAAAATACATGTAAACTAATCTAACTAATTCCCAAGGTTGTTGATTGGCTGGAAGTTCAGTAGTCATTCGAAGTGAGGTCTTGGGTGTTGGCTGAAGGATGGTGTGGAGTTGTGTAAACTGGCTGAAGTTTTAAAGTTGGTGCAGACAACGTCGGACATGGCTTTGTGGCAAAACTTAGAACACAAAACTCTCAACGGAAAAGGAAAACTGATGTAGAAGAAAGAAAAAAAGGCTGATGAGAGTAGACGGCTTATCTTCTCATGGTGGTTGAGTAGCAGCGGGTGTGCAGGCCAAAGCACACTGGAAGAGAACTCGAAGAACACAAAAAGCAGTGGCAAAAAGGCACAAAGCCAAAAAAACAGTGGCAAAAAGCTTTCAAAAATGTTTTGCTGCATTGATCACATGTGTACAGCTTCTCGCAGTGTGGATGTTCATGTGTCTCTTAAGGTTTGATGATTGTGCAAAACTCTTCCCGCACTGATCACAAGTGTATGGTTTCTCTCCAGTATGAACTCTCATGTGATCATCAAAATGATGTTTGCGTGTGAAACTCTTTCCACACTGAGTGCAGATGAAAGATTGCATAGCTCTTCTTTTCTTTAAACCTTTCTGTTTAGTTTGAAAGGTTTTTCTCTACTTTTGACATGATTTCTTTCCTCAACTTCACTCAATTCTTCATTCTGCTCATTTTCTTCAGTTGACTCTGAAATAAAAGCAGTTTATTTTCAGTTAGTCATAAAAACAGAGAAATGTGAAAGATAAAAATTAACCCTGATGTATAGAGCTATATCTTTCTGATGCATTTTTATAAATTGTCACTGAAACTTTATTTTTTAAAAGTATTATAGGCACAAATCACGTTTCTACAGCGAGAACTATTAAATTGTTTTATCAAAAAAAAAAAAAAATCAAACATACATTAATTTTGTTAATTAAAAAAAAAGAACCCATATCATAGAAAGTATTATTTGATGCTTCCTCTAGAGCAGTGTTTCCCAACCTTTCTTTAGTCGCGGCACCCTTTGGAAATTTTAACAAACTTGTGGCACCCTACAAAATGAATTTTGTCACAATATTTGAATTTCTAACTTCGATATGATAATTTGAAAAGTATAGATATTCGGTACAACAGGGAAGAACTGCAGAATATAATGTCATACAGATATTTTTAATATTATTAAAAAATGTTGTCCATCAAATGGTGGGAATCAGTGGGCTAATTTCTAATGAAGAGACCAATTTATATGACAGATTTTAATGTAGGCTTTTATACATACGTAAACATTATTTAATTACCATTATAACTAGCTATCTCACAAATATTTGCTCACTCAGTGTTTTTTTTATTTTACAGTGGGGTAATTTTGGTGCAGTAGCACGAGATAGCTTGATTTCAAACTTTGAATTGAATAAAAAATTACAAGCAAGCAAGCAGTCAGTAATAAAATAAGAACAAATAAAGAAATTAAATATTAAACAAATAAAAAATAACGACAGGCCTTAGAATTAAATAAATTGCTTTTTAGTATTTCAGGTAGGTCTAAAAGTAGGGTTAAGATATTTAACTTTTTTTTTTTTTACCAATTATCCAAATAATGTTTAGTCCCAGAAAGCTATTATTATCAGAACACGCGAGCATAACATAGCGGTTAGCAGATCAATGAATGAGAGGGCAGCTGTACCAGAGCTGCCCATATACCACACCATGTTACAACACAGTAGGGCTATTGCAGACAGAAACAAAACTGTACTACATCGATGTTTCCTGACGGCTCAATTTTTGAGTGGACTTTGCTGTTCCGATGAGCATGAATGTTATACGAGTGGAGAGGCTGAGCAGAGCACACATACGTACAGATCCGGATAACACGCAGAGCGTCACACCACGTGAAAGTGAAACCTGAGCGTTGAACTAATTTTCGGCAGCCGAAATTTCGGTGCATCTCTAATTATCCTTTTTTCCGACACCAGAAATGGATATTATATAATAGATGCTTTTTTTGAACATTTTGGCAATTTAAAAATATTAAAAAAGGATTTTTTACACGGCACCCCTGCTCTCGACAGACGGCACCACGGTTGGGAAACACTGCTCTGGATTATTCAACAGCTTTCAAAATTATTCCTGTTGCAACAAAACCAAATCAGAGAAGGGCAGTATACAGATTTCCTAAAAGAATTAGCAGATTTCCTCTCAGACCTATTGGTTACTGCTGATAAAGCACTAATCGTCTGAGATTTTAACATTCACGTTGATAATACAAATGATGCATTAGGACTTGCTTTTACTGACCTAATAAACTCTTTTGGAGTCAACCAAAATGTCACCGGGTCCACTCATCTTTTTAACAATCATACGCTAGAATTAATTATATGGCATGGAATTGATCTGACTGATATAGCTATCATACCTCAAAGAGATGATGTTACTGACCATTTCCTTGTATCGTGCATGCTGCGTATTACTGATATTAACTATATGGCTCCGCGTTATCGTCCGGGCAGAACTATTGTTCCAGCCACCAAAGACAGATTCACAAATAACCTGCCTGATTTATCTCAACTGCTCTGTGTACCCATAAATACACATGAACTAGACGAAATGACTAGCAACATGGGCACTATCTTCTCTAATACATTAGAAGCTGTTGCCCCCACCAATGGAAAAAGCTTAGAGAAAAATGTACTGTGCCATGGTACAACAATAATACCCATTCTCTCAGGAAATAAACTCGTAGTCTTGAGCGCAAATGGAGAAAAACTAACTTGGAAGTTTTTAGAATTGCGTGGAAAAACAGTATGTCCAGCTATAGACAGGCTCTAAAAGCTGCCAGGGCCGAGCATATCCACAAACTCATAGAAAACAACCAAAACAATCCTAGGTTTTTATTTAGCACAGTGGCTAGATTAACAAATAACCAGACGCCACCCGATCTAAATATTCCCGCACAGTTTAATAGTAATGACTTTATGAATTTCTGCACTGATAAAATAGATAACATCAGAAATACAATAAAAAATGTAGATTCTACAGCGTATAATACTTCAGCTTCATTCATCGCACCAAAAGATAAAATGCAGTGCTTTACAACTATAGGACAGGAAGAGCTAAATAAACTTATCACTGCATCTAAACCAACAACATGCCTGTTAGATCCTGTACCCACTAAATTACTGAAAGAGTTGTTACCTGTAGCAGAAGAACCGCTTCTCAATATTATTAACTCGTCGTTGTCTTTAGGTCACGTCCCAAAAACATTCAAGCTGGCGGTCATTAAGCCTCTTATTAAGAAACCACAACTAGATCCTAGTGAACTGGCAAATTACAGACCCATCTCAAATCTTCCGTTTATGTCTAAAGTTTTAGAAAAAAGTTATGTCTGCTCAATTGTGCTCCTTCCTGCAACAACAAAAAAAAGATCTCTATGAAGAATTTCAGTCAGGTTTCAGCCCCACCATAGCACAGAAACTGCACTTGTTAAAATTACAAATGACTTGCTTCTTGCATCAGACGAAGGCTGCATCTCATTGCTAGTTTTACTTGATC